GGATAAAAAAATCACAAGCAATTAAAAATGAATGCTGTCATATGAATCAACTTTGAAACATATGACAGTTTATTTATAATATTGTTCCAACGTTGTACAAATGTGAGATTAAATGACTTTAAAAGATATTTAAAATAACCTATAATATTAAGCATTGAAAGTATATTACAACATTTTTGTTCCTATTCACAATATTTACTGTAGATTAAACAGTAACATTATACGTTACATACATGGACTAATTTGCCATTACTTTATCAGAACATAGTTAATTTACTCTTTGTTTGTAGTATTGTTCAGTGGTGTGATAGAAACAGCTTAAAAGACAGTTGCACATACAAACAAGCACTGTGGGATCTCGTGGCCTAATGGTTAAGGAACATACCATATAACTATGTCCCCACAGTCCTCTCTCTTTAGACTGTCAAATGAAGGGAAAATTGCCCAAAAATATCTTGAAAAATAAAAACTCAGCATTAACACGTAATCACACAAAAAAGAACAGCATAAATGGTAGCCTGAGTGATTATTATACATGATATAAAGTACTACCAGATACTATAGATAGACATATATACATTGATATATATATCAGTTTAATTTCCTGATTTATTGAAGTCGTAGTATTTCTGCCTGCTCCCTGTGAGCGCTGGTGTTGAATGCATTTCATAGAGAAACATGTGTTTGAATTTTATTGATTTGCAAGATGTCAGATGTAATTAAATTTAAATTAGTTTGTAATAATTTCATATCTTGTTTTTTTCTTGATTGAAATGACCAGCAAAACATACACATAAACATATAGTGTGTTCACATCGAGCAAAAAAGTAATTTTCTTCACAGGTTCATTATATAAATACAGGGGGGGAAGAGAGAGAGAGAGAGAGAATAGTAGTAGTAGTAGTAGTTATTCTAAGCCGTATTATATCATCCAATTTTATTATTATAAATATCAACAGCAAAAGTAAATTCTGTTTGATACTACGTGTGATATGCATGCTGCCTTTTAAATTATGAGTTATCTGCCTTGTAATGCTGCTGAAAAGAAGATGTTATGCAACAGGGCTGGGGACTCCATTGTAGTGGGGTTACATATATTTATCCTGAATGAGCCAGGGATTATTTATGTATACAAACATTATATTCCTTTTGCTTTTTCCAATCATAAACAATTAAAAACACGTTGAGCACATACTACTTTATAATTCATACTGGAAATGCAGTTGTGTTTTGCTGCTGCCCTGTTGCAGGACTAAGCCAACTGTAATGTAGGGTGAGACCTCAACCTCGGCTTGGACAGCTGAGTGTCAGTCGACAGCATAGATGGTACAAGAGGATGGGCCTGATGGTCTGATCTCTGAGCCCATAGATTAGAGAAGTCAGACATCTGGGAAGGATATAGATGAACACATAAAATACACTCTTGATACGTACAATTGCTAACCTTTGCATGATTGTTGATAGTGATTGAACAATAGAGGTGTGCATAGTTGAGAAGAGACTGAGGCCCAGCTGCACCAGATGCAGCAGCAGCGTGTTACGAGCCTTATGAGCTGAAGCTTTGTCTGCAGAGGCTGACCTGGCTGCTACCATCACACCAATATAGGACGAAATGATTGCCACAGTAGCAGATACAAACAGACAGTAAGTGTAGGCTTTGTCATAATGATCAGTTATTGGATCAACCAACATTTGTATATCAGAGCAAACATCTGTCATCTTCAGGCTCTCCAGGTCTTCAAATGGAAACTCTAACAGTAAAAGAATTCGAGTGAAGACATTTAGTAAGCTAATGGCCCAAACCACAATGATAGCCACTGCTGTGTTTCTGATGGTGATGATGGTAGCGTGCCTCAGTGGGTAGCACACAGCTACATATCTCTCCAGAGACATCACCACCAGTGTGAGAGGAGAGATGTCATTTGTGAGCTTGGTGAACATGGAAAGAACACCACACACTGGATATGTCAGCCTCATTCTACAAGCAGCAATTATGTAAAGTAACTGGCCGAAGGCCAACTGAGCAGTGTCCGCAAAAAGGAGGTTATACAGAAGAATGTAACGAGAGGTCTCCCGAAACACCAGTTTACTCCTCAGGGTAAAAAGCATGGTGCCATTGATGAAGAGGAACACACAGCATGGCATTCCAATCAGAGTGGAAAACAAGACTCTTTCCAGTAACCCCTGATACTGTTGACCAGTAATGTTGAGATTGATAGTCTGAGATTGGTTTGCATATGACATTTTAGAGAAGCATTTAGGACAAAAATTAAATATGAATCTGTTGATGTAATTTAAGCACAAAAGCACAACAATTTTGGTGCAGTTTGCATTCCTAAAACAGTGAAGACATGTCATCTTTAGAGTACAGATACCTGTTACCTTCCCAGTCAAAGAAGAAAATTATCGACATGCATTTTCCTTTGCCGACAGTTAGCAGGTTAGAAGCTGTGGTTGATTCTATGTGAGCAGAGCTGGTCTGCAGGGCATGTCTGTCTTTACATACTATATCTTAGCTCAGTTTTCCCACCCACTTCATGACACTACATGGACACCCAATAGTCTGTTTCATGTATATTAGTTTCTCTTCTGGCTAGAGTGCACTTAAAGCTGGAAATAAATTTATGCTTTTTCTGAAATGCTATTGAACTCTGAGCAAATGTCTTAATACACATTTTCACATATCTTTTCGTTTCTTTAGCAGTTTCCCGATAAGTCTGATAAAGTTGATCAGATTTATTTATATCATTTTATCAGAGCCAGTACAAATTGGAATAATTGTATTTGGTTACAAAGACACATTTTTGATGATTCTCACGCTAAAGATATCATGTCGGCAAGCACATGGCACCTGTGGTTGGCATGGTTGTTGTGACACCTGCACTTTTACTGCGTTAGTTATTGATGAAGTGAAACTGAGTTCCTCATACCTGAAAATGTATTGTTAAAGTTAGATTGATTGAACGGCCATCCAACCAATCACAGCCTCACACATATCCATTGGTAACTGACCATATGTCATAATCAGACTGTCAGTGAGAAGCACCGGGAGATTTACCGCCACATTGGTGGGCTGGTGGGCCGTCAAAAAATCCCTTTAAGGTTTTACCATGGCTTTCTGTCTCTTAACAGGCCGTCTCTTAGTGTTTTTCATTTGGGGTGTGCAGAACTGCTTCATGTATGTATCAGGACTGGGCTCACAGGCCAATCGCTATATGTAATCAACAAGATGTCGGAAATTAACCCTCACCATTGTCTGAGGATTTGTTTGACACAACATGAAGTAATGAAATTGTCTAATCTGTTGTTTAGTTATTCATTTGTGATGAAATATATCAATTAAAATATTTTCAGTGGGGCACCTTCTATACAGTAGTATTTAATGATTAATTTAAGAATGAATGAAGGAAGTAATATGGAAGGAAAACAAAGCTATTTTGGAATCTATGATTGTGATCATTCACTTTTATATTAGTACATTGATTTTGTTCTTGCATTAATTCTATGAGGGTGTAAATTTACAGAAACTTGAAGCTGTATGTTTGAGCTTTTTTCCTACATCATCTGTTACTGCTGCGTTCTGCTTGTTTAGGATATGAAAAAAATGGTGAATATAATATCCTTGCGTGAAGTGTGTGGTACTTGTTCTACTGTACATTTTGAACTCAATATTATTTGCATATGGTGGTCATGAAAATCTAGAACTGCATGACATTCATTTTAATTTGGCATGTTGTAGAGACTGGAATAGGGGTCAAAGGTGGTGTTCATGTCCCACCATTAGAACCCCGGCTCTTGTCCTGCAGCTTGGTGCCTTGTTTAACTGTGTGTTTACACAACATGTAAACAACTTTTACACAAGAACAAGTAGTTGATGACAAGGAAAGGATCAGTAACTTACACCAAATTTGTAATTGTCAAAAAGTATAGTCCGCAGGCTGTGTTAATAATAGCTAACAGCACCAGGTTAACTGGAGTATCAACACTGATCACTGGCAAACCTCTGACTATCTGCCACGCTGAACCTGATCAAGCTAACACCCTGCCCAGGCACGATCCTGTTTCAGTTGAACTGGCACTGGAATCTGGTCTTCTGACACCCATTAAGGCTATGCTTATTGGAACAACAAAGGAGTGCAGACCGAAGCCTCCACTCCCAGAGTAAAATGGTAAGATGTCATTTGACACCTGAGTAGAAAGTATCCAAAAAACTGTTGTCACTAGCTTATGTATTCTGTTTATTTTTGATATTATAGATTTTTGTATTGATAAATCAACATTATTACACAGAAAAAAAAATGCAGAAAGGAAAAAAGAGATTTTGCATATTGGTAAATAAATTCTGAAATTTCTAAAAACAAATTCTAAATTGGTAAATAAATTCTAAAATTTGTTTCTACTAATTTGTTTCTTGTGTCAAGCTTTCAATTTGTGACCTGTTACAGTCAGGACCTTCTCTTGGCTCTGTTTTCAGATTTAAAAAAAAATCTAGACTGTGACAGGTGACTATGTCCAATAACAGGTTTCTCTTGATTTTTGAAATACTATTTGTGATACGATGCCTTTTTAATTAAACACTTAGTTATCTGCCTTGTCTTCCTGCTGAAAAGATGTTATGCAACACAGCTGTTGACTTTATTGTATTTGAGTTATTATGTATGAATATTATATTCCTCTTACTTATTGCAATTGCAAACAATAAAAAAAACATATGTAATGTAATGTAGTATGTGATGACCATAAAGCATTAAGGGAAAAATATAGCGCTATTACAATACTAAGCCAATGTGTTTTTTATTGCTAATATATTGATATGGAACATATACTCAAGAGTCGATCATAAATGCCATCATTAAATGCAGGAAATCCACCTTTGATTGTTATCAATTTTTTTTCAACCACTCTACCTGGTTTCTAAATTAACACAGAGATTTGTTCCAAGTCAATATATTCTTTGAAAATAATGCTTGTATCATTAAATTGTAATCTGAGGTGAGACCTCAGTCTTTACTAAGATGACTGAGTGTCAGTCGACAGCATAGATGGTACAAGAGGATGGGCCTGATGGTCTGATCTCTGAGCCCATAGATGAGAGAACTCAGACACCTAGGGAGGATATAGATAAACACATAGAAAACACTGTTGATACGTACAAGTATTAACCTTTGCAGGGTTGTTGAGAGGGATTGAACAATATAGGTGTGCATATTTGAAAAGAGACTGAGGCCCAGCTGCACCAGATGCAGCAGCAGTGTATTACGAGCCTTACTAGCTGAAGCTTTGTCTGCAGAGGCTGACCTGGCTGCTATCATCACACCAATATAGGAGGAAATGATTGGCACAGTAGCAGATACAAACAGAAAGTAAGTGTAGGCTTTGTCATAATGATCAGTTATTGGATCAACCAACATTTGTATATCAGAGCAAACATCTGTCATCTGCAGGCTCTCCAGGTCTTTAAATGGAAAATTTAAGAGTAAAAGAACTCGAGTGAAGACATTTAGTAAGCTAATGGCCCAAACCACAATTATAGCCACTGCTGTGTTTCTGATAGTGGCGATGGTAGCGTGCCTCAGTGGGTAGCACACAGCTACATATCGCTCCAGAGACATCACCACCAGTGTGAGAGGAGAGATTTCATTCGTGAGCTTGGTGAGCATAACAAGAACACCACACACTGGATATGTTAGCATTATTCTACAAGCAGCAAATATATATAGTAACTGGCTAAATGCCAACTGAGCAGTGTCTGCAAAAAGGAGGTTATACAGAAGAATGTAACGAGAGGTCTCCCGAAACACCAGTTTACTCCTCAGGGTAAAAAGCATGGTGCCATTGATGAAGAGGAACACACAGCATGGCATTCCAATCAGAGTGGAAAACAAGACTCTTTCCAGTAACCCCTGATACTGTTGACCAGTAATGTTGAAATTGATGATATTGAGAGTCTGAGATTGGTTTGCATATGACATTTTAGAGAAGCATTTAAGACAAAAAATAAATATGAACTTGTTGATGTAAGTTAAGCACAAAAGCACAACAATTTTGGTGCAGTTTGCATTCCTAAAACAGTGAAGACATGTCATCTTTAGAGTACAGATACCTGTTATGTTCACATGCAAAACTTATCATATATAACAAAATTATCCACATGCATTTTCCTGTGCCGACAGTCAGCAGGTTAGAGGCCAGGGTTTATTCCATGTGAGCAGAGCTGGTCTGCAGGGCTTGTCTGTCCTCACATGCTATATCTTAGCTCAGTTTTCCCACCCCCTTCATGACACCATGTGGACACCCAATAGTGTGGTCCATGTTCTATTCTCAGTATTGGGAATGAGAACAGAATCTGTCTTGCTTGTTTGGGTGTTATTTTACAAAATGTGGTCCTGAAAGCATTAAAAATGCCATCTGTAATAATATGGACATCCTGTCTGCCCAGGTCTGCTGTTTGTTAAAACTAGTCTTGTATTCTGTTCATATTACTTTCTATTCTCGCTGCAGTGCACTTAAGGCTGGCAGGCTGAGCTACGTAAGTAAACTTAGGCTTTTTCTTAAATTCTGTTGATTTATGAGGACAGGACTATGAGTAGTTGTTATGAAACATATTGCACTTAAATGCAACCATGTGCAGGGGCCATTTGTTTCAGTTATATTATATATATATATATATATATATATATATATATATATTATTCATGGAAACATGGAAAGACATGGAAATCTCACTTTCTACAATAGGGGATTTTTAATATGTGCATGGTACATTTCAGTATGTGCATACACAATACATAAACAAGACATAGCAGAAAATGCAATGCAATTCAAAGCTTTCAGTTATTAACTTTACATGGGAGGAGTTATGGGCCTTTGTCCTTTGACAGTAGTTAGATGCTAATGCTAATGTTGACTGCTTGTTTGAGTAACTTTACCATGAGCACCCATGTATTCTTGATCAATGAGCAGAGGTCCTTGTGGTGTGTTAAGAGTGCTCAAATGATGTTCATTATAATAATGACAACAACATTATTGTTTTTTGCAATCAATATTGTAATGTGATTTCAACTTGGAATGCTGGTTACTCAAGCTGTTCATTTGCATTGTGTGAGACATAGATAAAGACAGTTAGCCTTCTTGTATTTTCCCAATTGTACTGTATTTGTGTATTTTATATTTTGAATTTGTAAATGCAGAAATACAGTACATGCAGACAGAGTCACTGTACATGATCAAAAATTTAACTCTGATATTAAATGATATATTAATACAATGAGTCAAAATCTGTGAATCTTGAAATAACAAGAGGCACAATGAATTTCACATTGTAATGAAGATTTCTTCATTCACCACTGATTTACAGCATGTCTTTTCTTAAGCTCCTCACTCTAATTTTCTTGCGTAAAACATAGTAAATGTGCAGTGGTAATCCACATTATTTTACTTAACAGAAATATATATAATGTTACAAGTCCCACTTGAACCTTTTTGAAGTTAAATTCCTCTTAATCTAATGCATATTTAAATGGGAAGATTAGGAAGCTATCTCTTCATGGTTATGGCCACTATGGACAGGAGGATAGGTTTTTTGTCACAATTGTAGTGACCAAAAACTGTTTCAGTGTACATATGGGCATGTATTGTTTTAAGACAGGCTTAAAAAATGCAAGGGTATCTTTAAGATGCATTCCATGTATCCTAAGATGAGACCTCAGACTTGGATTGGATAACTGATAGTTTTAGGCGACAGCATAGATGGTATATGAGAATGGGTCTGATGGTCCTGTCTCTGATGCCATAGATGAGAGTGCTGAGACATCTTGGAAAGATGACAATACACACATAACCAACAATCTGAATACGCACCAAAACTATCTTGTTTACGACCTTTGAGATAGCTATGAGCAATGGGTTGTATATAGTTGAGAACAGACTGAGGCCCAGCTGCACCGAATATAGCAACAGTGTGTTACGAGCCTTACGCGCTGAAGCTTTGTCTGTAGAGACTGACCTGGCTGCTACCATCACACCAATATAGGAGCAAGTAATTGCCATACCCGCTGATATAAACAGAATACAAGTATAGGCTTTATCATAATCATCAGACAATGAGCCAAGCATCATTTTTTCTCTGGAACAAAATTCTGTCATCTGCAGGCCCTCCTGCTCTTCAAATGGAAAATCTAACAATAAAACAACTCGTATGAGGACATTAAGAGAGCCAAAGGCCCAAACCACAATGATGGCCCCCCCTGTGTTTCTGATGGTGATGATGGTAGCATGCCTTAGTGGGTAGCACACGGCTACATATCTCTCCAGAGACATCATCATCAGTGTCAGAGGAGAAATCACAGATGTGAGATTTGTGAGCATTGTGAGAACACCACACACAGGATACATTAGCCTAATTCTACAAGCAGCGATTATGTACATTAACTGAGTGTGTGCTAGCAATACAGTGTCTGCAAAAAGCAGGTTATACAGAAGAATGTACCGAGAGGTTTCACGAAACACTGGTTTGCTCCTCAAAGAGAATAACATCGCCCCATTAATGAAGAGGAACACAAAACATGGTACTGTAGTGACAGTGGAAAAAAAAACCCTTTCCGGTATCCCTCGTCCAGTAAAGGTGGTCTCAGACTGAGTTGCATTTGTCATCTTTGAAAAGAATGGAAGAGACATAAAAAATGTTAACCACTTGATGTAACTGGACAGTGAAAACAAAAGGAATCTTGTTCTGTTCGTATTCCTAGAACAGTAAATATATGCCATCTTTAGAGCAGAGAATGTCAGAGTTCACATGCATAACCGAAAATCATCCACATACTTTTTTAGTAGGGTAGAGGCTGTTCTTGTTTCCATGTGAGCAGAGCTGGTCTGCGGGGTTTGCCTGCCCCCGTTGTAATGTTTATGAACTCTGTCCTCACATCCACTTTACATAACACAATCACACGCAAGCATTTTTAATTATTAATGGGTGATGTAATCTTCCTATCACCACCTCTTCAATACCCACATCCACTTCATCATATTATCCATAAAGCAGGAGTAATTATTATGAATGTACTTAATACATTCCGTTTCATTTGGTTACCTATTGTGTTGTTTGTCTACTCTAAACAAAGTGGACCACTATCATCATCATGATGGTTAGTGTCTGAAATTTCAATGTACTGCTCACTAATGATGAAATTATTGAGTGTCTATTATATGAATGTAATGGATGAGTGACACAAACATACTGTTTTATTTGCTTATTCCTATGAATGTTTCATTTCACATATGCTACCATATACTATGCAGATATTGACAAGGCCTAACTCAAGGATCGTTTTTGCATTTTTTATTTTCATTTCTTATTTTTGTAGTTTTGCTCATCATTCCTACTGTCACAGCAAAGACAGTAATTTCCTCTGCGACAGTCATGGACGGAAATTATGTTTGTGCGATGTCTGTCCCACTCTTGTTAATGTGAAAGTTCACTTGTAATCAAGGATGAACTGATTAGATTTTAGAGGTTGAAGGTCGCCACAAAGCCTCTTGAATGTGATATCTCAAGACTGGCTTCAGGAAATTTCTTCAAATTTTGCACAAACGTTTACTTTGACTAGAGATGAACTGGTTGAATTTTGGTGGTCAAAGGTCAAGGTCATGGTGACCATGTTTTTCTGAAAGTGATCAGCAACGCCCAGAGGGAATTTTGTTATATCTGGCACAAATATTAACTTATACTCATGGATGAACTGATTAGAATTCAGCGGTTAAAGGTCAAAGTCACTGTGACCTCACAAATTGCATTTGTGTTCTTATGAACGTGATATCTCAAAAACGCTAGCAGTGAATTTCTTCAAGTTTGGCACAAACTTTGACCCTGAGATGGGCTCAAAGGTCACTGTGACCACACAAACAGATTTTTGGCCATAACTCAAGAGTTTACTAGTAATTAACGCTGTACTGTTTGGCCGACCATGCAATTGTGAGGCAGTTATTTGGTTACCTTGGCACTAACAAAAAAGTTTTACCCGCGGGACAGATGAAAGTTTCAGAGTCCTGCTAAAGAGGGTCGCCTGGCAACAAAATGCCTCCCCTCTCTTCTCCCTCAACTGAATCCACAAGCTGTATCAAGCTCAGCCTGAAAATCACATTGCTTGAAAAAAGAATCCCTCAGCTGGCCCAGAACTGGCTGATGATTAGATCCAGGGACATTTCAAGCCCCAGCTGATGAATACGGGGACACTATTCCCTGGCCTGGACTAAACCAACACCACAACAGATGGATATGTACTATTGGCTAAACCGGGGAGCAAGGCCATTGACCTTTTTCTGCCCACCCACTGTCAAACACTGAGCTCTGGACAGACATTGTCCAGGGTAAAAGAAAAACCAGAAACAAAAAATACAGAATGGGAGATTCACTGGTTTACACCTCAAGGTAAATAACATGGTCCCATTAACGAAGAGAGACAAACAGGATGGCACTGCAGTCACAATGGAAAACAACACCATTACCAATAACCCTGATACTGAAGCCCAATAGTGACATTGGTCTGAGACTGATTTGCATAGATTGTAGAGAAGCATTTACTAAATTAAAAATATAACCGAGAATGCTGTACAAAAGCAAAATTAATCTTCAGTTTCTGTTCCTATAACACTGAAAATCTATCCTTCCACTCATCCATCAGAAGTTGGATGACAACAGAAGCAGAAAATATGTAATTAAAAAGAGCTTTATTGGGAATTTGGCTGTATTAAGATACTATAAAGAGAGTAGGAGAGAAGCAAACAATTAAAGGGCTGAAGCTGGCTGACACTAGACTCAATGCAAATATGAAGCGATGATGTCAGTTGTTTACACCAGCTCCATAACAGCATCCTGAACTTCACACATTGACCATATGCGGTCCAGCCATATACTAGGTTTTGACCTAATCTTGTTAATCCTTAACTATTTATTTTCTTGTTATTGCTTATGTTTTTATTTTTCCAAAATGCAATTTTGAATGTTTTCTTGTTGTTTTACCTGCAATGTTTTCAATTATTTTATGCCTCCGTAAAGAACTTTTAATTGCCTTGTGTCCGAACCCCTAAAATAATAGATAAGACCCACCCTCTTAAGATTTGGCAACCAAACAAAATGATAGGTGACGGCAGTTAGATGATCAAACCCACAGATTAGATCAATGTACATTGTTGCCTATAAAGTTGGAATAATTTTGTTTTCAGTTTAATTGTGATTTAATTGTGGTTTCATTTTCATTGTGATATGTTTGGAAGAGATCGACTACTAAAGTTTTTAGAAGATATACACTTTATTTTTCAAGAATAAATCACATTGTCACAATCATTTCATAGAAAGAGGTAAAAAATATTTTATTCCAACTTTATGAGCAACAGTGTATTTGAAAAGAAACAAAAAAAACCCAATGGTGAATGTTTGAATTTTAACCAAACGGTCTGTTGTAAACATTGTGTTCACACTGATTTTGCTTACAGTGAGGGAGTTTTCGGATGCACTCACTTTCAGTTTGCCCTAAATTAAAGGGATTTAGATCATTTGGATAAACTGTTGGCTTAATTACAATCTATCTGATATTCTGATTCCTTCTTTTCTTGTTGACATTGTGGCAAAGTCACATATTGTAATATCTCAGCAAATATTTGAGTACAATGAAATTACAACTGTCAGAAATGACGACCAGAATTTTCTAATATAAGACTCAAGATTCATTGAGTGAACCAGAATTGTCCTGTAACATCACGCTCCGTCTGTGGGATTCTTGGTGGTGGTGGCTGTGTCTAGGTTGTTATGTTCGATGTGTGTTTACCCTGAGTTCTACATTATGATAAAAAGTGATATCCTTCCTTTAGTCGGTAGTGAAGTATTTTAGATAGAGTTCATATGAATTATTAAACAATTTTAAAAGGACTGTCGGAAAAAAAAAAAGTTTCTGGTACAATCACAAACATGAAGACTATATTATAAATTGTGTGAGTTGACTCATAGTCTTGCTGATACAGGAAGAGGCCTGTATTCACCTTTGGTTGTCTCTGCATTCTTATTAATTGTATACATTTTCTTTGGTGTAATTCATTTTCAAACCTATACGCCATTATACTAGTGTTTTCATTTACTACAACCATGCCTGTAAAATTATCCGCAACTATATTCATACAACTGTCAGTGACCACTTTCTTTGTTACACCTGTAAAATCTAATGTAATCCAACACAACAGCTCAGCCATAAATTATAGCTTTACAAAAATAAACATGTTCCGTTTTGATTGACCCTTTTAGAGAGGCACATTATTGATTTAACTACACGTTAACAACAAAAATACCAGTTAGTCATTCACTTGTAGTTATCCTATCCAGCATGCAGCAGACCCAGATTTTGTTACAGATAATATTTATCTATGAAGTGATAAGTATGCTTACTTTTGCCTTGGTTGAGGAATGTGAGAGAAAAGGTGAGCGTTTCCACTGACAGCAGAGATGGTACATGAGGACGGGTCTGATGGTCTGATCTCTGATGCCATAGATTAAAGCACTCAGACATCTTGGAAAGATAATGATACAAACATAAAGGATAATTTGTATGCGCACAATAATTATCCTGTCTAGGACCTTTGAGATAGCTGTGAGAAAGGGGTTGTGTATAGTTGATGAGATACTAAGGCCCAGCTGCACCAGATGCAGCAGCAGCGTGTTACGAGCCTTTTTGGCTGAAGCTTTGTCTGTAGAGGCTGACCTGGCTGCTACCATCACACCAATGTAGAAGCAAGTGACTGTCATACCAGTTGAAACAAACAGAATACAAGTGTATGTTTGGTCATAATCATCAGCTAAGGGCCCAAGCAACATAGCTACAGCAGAGCAAAAGTCATTCATCAGCAGGCTGTCCAATTCATCAAATGGAAAATTTAGTAGCAAAAGAAATCGAGTGAGAACACTTAGTGAACTGAAGGCCCAAACCACAATGATAGCCAACTCTGTGTTTTTGATGGTAATAATGGTAGCATGCCTCAGTGGGTAGCACACAGCTACATATCTCTCCAGAGACATCACCACCAGTGTCAGAGGAGAAATCACAGTTGTGAGATTGCCAAAAAAGCTGAGAACACCACACACAGGATATGTCATCCTTATTCTACAAGCAGCGATTAGGTACAGTAACTGGCTGTGAGCCAAGTTTACAGTGTCTGCAAAAAGGAGGTTATACAGAAGAATGTACCGAGAGGTCTCACGAAACACTGGTTTACTCCTCAAGGTGAATAACATGGTCCCATTGATGAAGAGAAACACACAGCATGGCACTGTAGACAGAGTAGAAAACAACACTCTTTCCATTAACCCCTGATACCGCAGTCCAACAGTGATGTTTGTCTGAGACTTATTTGCATACATTATAGAGAAGCAATAAATGAACTACAAATATTAACCTGTTGATGTAATTGCAGTGCAAAAGCACAATCAATATTCTTTAGTTTGTGTTTGTATGAAAGTGGAGATCTTGCGACCTTCACAGAGTTTATGAGCTCAGTCATCACACCCACCTCACGTGACACCATCACATGTAAACATGTTAGTAATGGGTGATGCAATTCCTCTACCACAATATTCCAATTTCCTGGCACATGCCATCATTTAAGTCATGTGTCTTGAAGCTATGACTGACAAGTATAAGTCTCCAACTGTTAATAGTGAAAAACTTGTTAGAACTCACAAAAGTGTTGAGTGAGTGGTAGAGAGGCAGAGCGGCAGTTTGTTACACAGACGGGGGCTGTGTGCTGTGTCAGAGATCAGCTAAACATATTCTGTTGCTTCTAACTTTCTCTTTGAGTGATTGCTTTACAAGTAAATAAAGTCTAAATCACAGCACAGTCTTTGTCTTTAACTTATGTGCATGGTGATTTTGTCAGATGGTGTCATGGTCATTAAATAAAGACAATCAGGATTTTAGCAATGTAAAGCAGCAGCTTGGAAATGGTTTGGAAGTTAACATGTAGTCTTAATGGGCCACATTTAAGTCACTAGTTCAAACTTGTTCTGTCATCTGAGAACAGAAACAGTAAAACATGTAAATGAGAACATCTTTATTTGGAATTCGACTGTATTACTGTACTGTACAGAGAGTACAAGATAAGCAATCAAATAAAGGGCTGACTGACAGCAGAGATGGTGCATGAGGACGGGTCTGATGGTCTGATCTCTGATGCCATAGATTAAAGCACTCAGACATCTTGGAAAGATAATGATACAAACATAAAGGATAATTTGTATGCGCACAATAATTATCCTGTCTAGGACCTTTGAGATAGCTGTGAGAAATGGGTTGTGTATAGTCGATGAGAGACTGAGACCCAGCTGCACCAGATGCAGCAGCAGCGTGTTACGAGCCTTTTGGGCTGAAGCTTTGTCTGTAGAGGCTGACCTGGCTGCTACCATCACACCGATATAGGAACAAGTGACTGTCACACCACCTAAAACAAACAGAAAATAAGTGTAGGCTCTGTCATAAAGATCAGACATTGGATCAAGTAACATGCTTTCTTTTCCACAAAAGTCTTTCATCTGCAGGTTCTCCAGCTCTGCAAATGGAAAATTTAGCAACAAAAGAACTCGAGTGAGAACACTTAGTGAACTGAAGGCCCAAACCACAATGATAGCCACCCCTGTGTTTTTGATGGTAATAATGGTAGCATGCCTCAGTGGGTAGCACACGGCTGCATATCTCTCCAGAGACATCACCACCAGTGTGAGAGGAGAAATCACAGTTGTGAGGTCAGCCAAGAAAGCAAAAACACCACACATAGGATATGTCAGCCTTATTCTACAAGCAGCGATTAGGTACAGTAACTGGCTGAGGGCCAAGTTTATAGTGTCGGCAAAAAGGAGGTTATACAGAAGAATGTACCGAGAGGTCTCACGAAACACTGGTTTACTCCTCAAGGTGAATAACATGGTCCCATTGATGAAGAGGAACACACAGGATGGCACTGTAGTCATAATAGAAAACAACACTAATCCCATTAACCCCTGATACTGTAGTTCAACAGTGATGTTTGTCTCAGACTGATTTGCATACATTTTAGAGAAGCACTAAATGAACTACAAATATTAACCTTTTGGTGTAATTGTAGTGCAAAAGCACAATTATTCTTCAGTTTAAATTCCTTTAGCACTAAGAGTCCTTACTCTCATTCATCCCTCAGAAGACTAGGGAGGTCTTGTGAGTTCACAAGCATGAACTGGAATTATCCCCACACATTTCTCCTGTGCAGACAGAAGGTGGAGGCAGTGACTGTTTCAGTACATGTAGTGCTGCAGAATTTGCTGACAGACTTTATGAGCTCAGTCCTCACACCCAGTTCACGTGACACCATCACATGTAAACATGGGTAACATGTTGATAGTTAGTGATGTAATTCTTCTATCATGATTTTGTCATTTCCTTTTGCAATTTGTCCAACTGCTAATAATGAAAAACTTGTCAGAACTCACAAAAGTTTTCAGTGAGTGGTAGAGAGGCGGAGAAGCAGTTTGTTGTGTAGACCGAGGCAGTGTGCTATTTGAGGAATAAAATAAACATATTCTGTTGCTTCTAACTTTCCCCGGAGTCATCACTTTCCTAATGAACATAACCTAAATCACAGCACAGTCTTTGTCTGTAATTTATGTGTATGGTGACTTTGTCAGATGACATCATGGTCATAAATAAGGAAAATCAGGATTCTAGCATTGCAAAGCAGCAGCTTGGAAATAGCTTGGAAGTTAACATGTAGTATTAATGGGCCACGTTTCAGTCACTGTTTCAAACTTTTTTCCGTTGTCTTAGAACAGAAACAGAAAAACATGTAAATGAGAACTGCCATATTGTTAATTCAGCTGTATTTAAATACTGTACATGTGAGCACAGAGAGGAGGAGGGAAGCAAACAGACAAGAGTTGAAACTGGCTGACACAAGGCTGAATGTATATATGATTCAATGATGTCAGTTGTTTACAGCGGCTCCATAACAGTTTTATACTAAGTCCTGAATTTCACACAATAATCATATGTGGTCCAGGCATAGACTAGGTCTTGACCTAGTCTTGTTAATTTTTAACTGTCTATTTTCTTTTTATTGCTACTGTTTTTTTTCAAAATGTAATTTTGAACGTATTCTCATTGTTTATATGAAATATATTTTATTATTTCATGCCTCGGTAAAGAACTTTTAATTACCGTGTGTCTGAACCCCTAAGATAATAGATAATACCCACCCTCTTAAGATTTGTTAACCAATCAAAGTGACAGGTACTATTAGATGATCAGACAAACCCACAGATTAGATCAATGTATTTGAAAAGGAACCCAAAGTGAACATTTAAATTTGAACCAAACCGTCTGTTGTAAACATCCATCACAGTGTATAGTCTGACTTCCTTGGTCAACTTGGCCTACTGCTCTACAGTTGTGTGCACATTGCGTTCCCTTGCAATGAGAGATTATTACAAAGATTTCAGATGCACTCACTTTCAGTTTGCCCTTCAATAGAATGATTTAGATGATCTGGATAAACTGTTGGCTTCTTTACAATCTGTGTCATTTTCTGATTTCTTCTTTTTCTACTTTACATTGTAGTAATGTCACACATTATAATATCTCAGCAAATATTTGAGTACGATATTATAACAAATATCAGAAGTGACAACCAAAATGTTCTAATATAAGACCCAAGATTTAATGAGTGAGCCAGAATTGTCCTGTAACATCATGCTCGTTCTGTGGGATTCTTCTCTAGAAAATGAATAGGAGGTGGTGGCTGTGTTTAGGTTGTTATGTTCGATCTGTGTTTACCCTGAGTTCTACATTATGATAAAAAGTGATATCCTTCCGTTAGTCTGTAGTGAAGTATATTAGAAAAAGTTCATATGAATTATTAAAAACAACAACTTTACAGACAATATAAATACTGCAAAGGAACAATATTAAAAGCAGTATCAGAAACAAAAAATCAAGTGTCTAGTATAATCACAAACATCAAGACTATATTATAAATTGTGTGAGTTGACTCATAATCTTGCTGATACAGGAAGAGGCCTGTATTCACCTTCTGTTGTCCTTGCA